ATTCTACATCAATCTAAACAATCTTATCTATTTCTTCAAAAAAAAACTTGCTGTAATTTGACATTGGTTAAAGTAATTATATATATATATGATTATATATACATAAAACTTTGGAAAAAATGAACATTTTAAACAATTTTCAGTTTTCTAATCCATAAACATGATATGTATCCGCATTTCTTAGGCATTATTCAATTTTTCTCAGCAATGTTTTGTAGTCTTCAGTATAAAGATCATACATAAATTTGGCTAGATTTATGCATAAGCATGTGTTTTTTCATTGATGCCATTGTCAATTTGTTTCATTTTTGTTTATTGCTAACATATAAAAATACAATTAAATTTATATATTGATCGTACATTCTATTACCTTCTTAAATTTGCTTATTACTTGCAGTAGTTAGTAGATTCATTTGGGTCTAAAGAGAAATTTAAATTTCATTCCCACTGTTGTTTTCTATTTCGCTTCTCCATGTCTTGCTCCCAGAGGCATCCCTAGTGCTAGATTTTTAAATCCCTTTTCAGAAATATCCCATCCGTATGCAAACACCAATAGTATTACATTATACACTACATATAATTCTCTTATTTGAAAGTCTCTCATCTTACCTTTCTGGGAGAATCAAATTTATTACTAGTATCACATATATTATGTGATAATATGTTTAAAATGAAAACAAGTTTCTATATACTATATTTGTTTTCTCCATACTTACTCCATACTTTCTCCAACACTTGAAAAGGGGAGTAATGAGATATTTGAATTCCATTTAACAATATAAACTAATGTAAAACATTATATATTGTGAGCATTTTATATTAACTCTGGAGGTAATATAATGTGGAAATATATATGTTCTGTTTTATATCAGTTTTTTGAGCCAGTGATTTTTAATTCTGGTTTCTCATTGGAATCATAGACTAGCTTTAATGAATACTGATGTCTGGATCATACCCCAGAGAGTCTGATTTTATTGATTTGATATGGGATATGGTTTGGGCAAAGAGATATTTTAAAGTTCCCCAAGTGATTTTAATGTATAACCAATTTGAGAACCAATGTTTTAGGCCTTACTCTTACAGTCCCCCCTCTAAAATGTGTCTCTCTCTGTGTGTGTATGTGTGTGTGTGTGTGTGTGTGTGTGTGTGCGCGCGCGCGCGCGCGCACGCGCGTGCGCACACACCTCAAGGGAGGTTTGAAATGCAGAACAATGCTGTGTAGTTTGTATTTGGAATTTTTACAAGTAATTTCATGGATCGAAAAACTTAAATAACCTGGAAACATAAAATTTGTATAACTTTACATAAGGCAATTAATGTTTCCTGCATTACTCTGTCTTCACTCCCCAAAAGGAAATTTTAGCAATGAACTCTAACTTGTTTTTGTCAAGAAATAGGTGCAGATATTTTTAAACACAAACTATGATACAAATGTTTAAATATAGAAAAAAATACAAAATGGATTTAGGAAAAAATTGATTGTCAGTACCAAATACTAACCTTTGGCAGTCAAGGAGAATTGTTATGCTGAGAATTAGTGTTATAAAACTGGATTACATGGGCTATTTTTCTGGTCTAGTCTGATCTTTCTTATTTTCGTATATTCTAAAATTTTAAGACATTATTTAAAAATAGTACAAGCGGCCCATGAGTGGTGACTCGCACCTGTAATCCCAACACATTGTGAAGCCGAGACAGACGGATCACCTGAGGTCAGAGGTTCACGACCAGCCTGGCCTACGTGGCGAAACCCAGTCTCTACTAAAAATACAAAAATTAGCCAGACATGGTGGTGTGCACGTATCATCCTGGCTACTCGGAAGGCTGAGGCAGGAGAATCAGTTGAACCAGGGAAGTGGAGGTTCAGGGAGCCAAGATCACGCCACTGCACTCCATCCTGCGGGATAGAGTGAGACTCCATTTCCAAAAAGAAAAAGAAAATAGTACAAGTAATACATGCAAGGAGTAAATAAGACTAATATTTATACATAGAGCAGTATTTTCAGAGTTTATATTAACTGGAAAATAAAATAGACATCCAAATTGTTCAGTTCAAAACCTATTTTCAGTGGTCATTCAGTCTAACATATTTCCTGATTGTGTGTAGAATGTTACATTAGAAATTTTGTGAAATTTAGGCCAAATTTTTAACCTAAAGTTAAATATAACACAGACAAGGTGGATATAATATAAAGCAGAAAACATTGCACCTGACATAAGTTACATTCTGAATAATTATTAGCAGGCAGGAAGAAAAGGAAGAAGAGAAATTCAGACAACACTTTTTTTTTTTTTTTTTAAGTAGAAAAATGCATTTGAAATTTATCATAAGAATTTTTCTAATAAAATGTTGTTGAAGCTGGAGCTGGATATAAATTCCTCCTTTGCCATTTAACATATTTGTGAGATTGGACAAATTATTTAAGTGTTTTGAGAGTTATTTTCCTCATATGTTTAAATACATATAATAATATTTCTTAAAAATATTATGAGGTTTAGATGTGATCCTGTGTATGAAAATGCTTAGTCAAGAGTTAGGGTGGATCCTCAATAGATGTTCAGTATTTAATTTTCGTAAGTATACCTAAGTCACTTTTGCTTTCTTTTTTATTATTATTATTATTATACTTCAAGTTCTAAGGTACATGTGTACAATGTGCAAGTTTGTTACATATGTATACATGTGCCATGTTGGTGTGCTGCACCCATTAACTCGTCATTTACATTAGGTATTTCTCCTAATGCTATCCCTCCCCCTTCTCCCTACCCCACAACAGGCCCCGGTGTGTGATGTTCCCCGCCCCGTGTCCATGTGTTCTCATTGTTCAGTTCCCACCTATGAGTGAGAATATGCGGTGTTTGGTTTTCTGTCCTTGTGATAGTTTGCTCAGAATGATGGTTTCCAGCTTTGTCCATGTCCCTACAAAGGATATGAAGTCGTCCTTTTTTGTGGCTACATAGTGTTCCATGTTGTATATGTGCCACATTTTCTTAATCCAGTCTACCATTGATGGACACATGGGTTGGTTCCAAGTCTTTGCTATTGTGAATAGTGCCACAATAAACATTACGTGTGCATGTGTCTTTATAGCAGCAAGATTTATAATCCTTTGGGTATATACCCAGTCATAGGATAGCTGGGTCAACTGGTATTTCTAGTTCTAGATCCTTGAGGAATCACCATACTGTCTTCCACAATGGTTAAACCAGTTTACACAGTGTAAAAGTGTTCCTATTTCTCCACAACCTCTCTAGCACCTGTTGTTTCCTCACTTTTTAATGATTGCCATTCTAACTGGTGTGAGATGGTATCTCATTGTGGTTTTGATTTGCATTTCTCTGATGGCCAGTGATGATGAGCATTTTTTCATGTGTCTGTTGGCTGCATATATGTCTTCTTTTGAGAAGTGTGTTCATATCCTTTGCCCACTTTTTGATAGGGTTGATTTTCTTGTAAATTTGTTTAAGTTATTTATAGATGCTGGATATTAGCCTTTTGTCAGATGGGTAGGCTGCAAAAGTTTTCTCCCATTCTGTAGGTTGCGTGTTCACTCTGATGGTAGTTATTTTATTTTATTTTATTTTATTTCTGTGCAGAACCTCTTTAGTTTAATTAGATCCCATCCAAGGAAAACTACAAACCACTGGTCAACAAAGTAAAAGAGGACACAAACAAATGGAAGAACAGTCCATACTCATGGATGGGAAGAATCACTTTGTTTTTTTTATGTTATTTTAGTCTGAATTCTATAAGTTGCATTTTAAAGTAAAGCATAAGAACCACCACCAATAACTTACCCACTCCTTTAGCTGATTTGTTTTACTAGTCTGAGACTGGAAGCACTTCACTGTCCATCTCTAGTATGGATGATAAGGAGTTTATCTGAGTACATGAAAGCGAAATGTGTTCTAGATTGTGTATTGAGACTTATAATTTTATCATTTTAATGTTATTTAATTCATAATTTTGTTACTCCAGAATCTTGCTATTCAGTGTGTTTCATAGACAAAAGGCAATATTATTGCCAGCCAGCTCGTTAGAAACCCAGACCTACTGAATCTCAATTTCCATTATAGCAAAATTCCCAAATGACTTATATGTATGCACATTAAGGTTTAATGGAGCACTGTTTTAGCTATATATAGTTCAATATTATAGTTTTAATACATATGATTTAAACTTTAAATAAATTCTTATTACATGCTTTCTGATTCTAGCTGATATACATGTAAGTTACATTTGTTGTAAAAAGCGCTAGATCAGGAGTAGAAGCACACTTCTTTTATATTGGCTGTGCCATTTAATGATAGTGAAAATGTATTAAGTTCCTAAATTTCCAAAAGTTTTTATTTCACCATCTATAAAGTGAAAGGCTAGTTAATACTTTTCCTGGTACTCAGTGGAATTGTTTAAAGGTTCATGTGAGATGGCCCATAATTAATGTTCAAACTCTATACACATATGAAGCATTATGATAACCAATGAGTTTGTGAGTGGGCAGTGGCCAGGATTTAGAAAGAGCAGCTAATCACAGATCGATTATGAATATGAGCTCCTTAGGGAGAAACACAAGATGACAACCGTAGAATTGTAATAATAACCATATATTTTGTTGCTTTATAGCAGAAATACAGGGTGGAGAAGAGAGGATGTGTCCTAAATGAAAAGACAACTGTCCAAAGTGCTGGGATTACAGGCATGAGCCACCATGCCTGGCCAATTTTGATTTTTTGAAAACTGATTTGTGTTGACTTTGCTTGGATGGTCCAATCGGTTTCTTCCTAATTAGCTCACAGTGAAAGCATGAACAATAACAACATAAAACAAGACCAAAAAATAGATTTTCCTCAGCACTTGCCTTCAATTTTTCCTAAGGATGCTTCTTAGTAACTGAATTAAGGAAACATTATATGCCATGGACTTGTCATGGCAGTCAGGACATTGTGAGGGATGTCTTCATGGAAATCTACAATGCAAACTCTGGTTCTCTCCATTACAGATAAAAAGACTTGTGGACCTCATGAATTCCAGTGTAAAAACAACAACTGTATTCCAGATCACTGGCGGTGTGATAGCCAAAATGACTGCAGTGATAACTCAGATGAAGAAAACTGTAGTAAGTAACTCTTCCTAATAATGTTGTGAGATTGACAGCCCATTCCATAAGCAGGATGGCAATTTTTAGTTCTGTTAAGGTATAAATTTGAACCTATCTGTCTTATGGCTCACATTTTTAGACATATATTCACATTTGGATGAGAATATTCAGACTACATTGACCTGAATCTCAAATGGTAGAATTATCGAAATACTTATCCTGAGAGTTATTTTGTTACAGTTCTCACAATTGGTAGGAAACTATCATGAGGTTTAATGCAAACCCTTAGTAGGCAATGAAGGAAACCGTTGATGCAAGTTCACACAATGAGCTGAATGATGTGGAGTCACTGTAAAACATCTCATTCTTTAACAAATGGTAGTCATTTCATTTCAGTCTCAAATCCTTTTACACTACAAATTCACCCATGAGCATATTTCAGTGAAATATCACTTATTCTCTCTAGAGTAGTCAACACCTTATATATTCAGGATGCTTTTCTCTGAAAATAGAATAACACTATTGTTACCATCTGTCTTCTCCATTTTTATATAATACATTTAAAAATAATAATTTTCCCAAAATTTTACTTTCTGAAGAGTATGGCAGTTATATAAAATTGTGACAGTATCTCCAGATTGTAGCATTTATTTCAGAATATATATATATATATATATATATATATATATATAGAAATATATATACTGAGACCTTAAATACTGAGACCAAAAAACACATATGTATTTTTTGAGACAAGGTCTCACTCTGTTGCTCAGGCTAGAGAGCAGTGGCATGATCACGACTTACTGTAGCCTTGATCTCCCAGGATCAGGTGTTCCTCCCACCTCAGCCTTCCAGCTGCGACTATGGAAGCATGCCACCACACCTGGCTAGTTTTCTTTTCTTTATAATTTGTAGAGACGGGATCTTGCCATGTTGTCCAGGCTGATCACTAACTCTTGGGCCCAGGCGATAAACCCTGGCCTCCCAATGTGTGCGGATTAAAGGCGTGAGCTGGCCACACTCGGTCTGAGTATATTTCTTATTGGCACTTTTATACACTGTCATTTAAACAAAGAAAGCTACACAAGCATGTTTAAAATAACATAATAATCAAATTCCATTTATTAAATATTTATGTCTGGTACTTCCAAGAAGATTTAATGCAGATTAATAATGATAGTGTCTATTCTTGCAGACATCTCATTGGACTAAGAGCATTCATTTCCCCAGAGGCAGAAGACTAAATCTACATAGGAATACGTTATATGAAAGCATATAATTAGTAGAGTGAAAGCCTGAATAAACCACTCAGATATTTGGCTTGCAAAGTACCAACTAATGTTTTGGATAACTTTCACAACTTAATCTGACCTGTCTTTGGGAATGAAGTATATTAAGCATGAAACCTCTGGATTATTGTGATTATAGAATATCCTGCATATAGAAACTTTTATAACTCCTTCTTTACATACATATCTTCTAACAGGTCATAGTCTTTAGAAAGATAAAGAGCACTGCAGAGAGTCAATAGAGTTTTAGATTTCTCTAAACACCAGTTTTTAAAAACTATGTATGGAAGTTCTCTGATCCACTTAATGATTAAAGTAAAATTCTGATGGGGTGGAGCTGGTAGGGATAGAAGCATAAATACAAAAAATCCCCCCACAATTATGCATATACTTTCTGCTTATTTATGAACCAGAACTTAAGTGTACAAATGTCTACTTAGATTTTTTGTTGATATATTTGGTGTTAATCATCAATAAGGTAACTGAGAGCAAATGCCTTATAACGGAAGGATGTTGAAAGCAGAAGAGGGTGGATGAGAGGCCAACTCTGAAGACATGTCTTGGAGAACTTTTATTCAGGGGGTGGTTGAATCTATGTGAGAAGTTAGCCTACTTTTATAATAAGAAAAACAGGAGAAGAAGGAAGGGCTCACCTGCTGCTGAGTCTGCTGGGTTTTTCTAAGTGGCTGAATATCATTGTACTGACATCTAAAAGTCAGCCTTTGGCACAAGAAAGCAAGGAGAAAGAACATTGACTCTTACTCTCGCTTGTCACTGTGGAAACTCAGTGATAAATCACTGTAGCCACAGTGTCCTTAAGAAAAAGTGAGGGAAGTGGTTGCAGTATCAAGCATTTCAGTATAAAATACCCAATTATGTGTGGTTCTCTTTTAGTGTCTGTTCACTCTGAGCTTGTTGACTAAGGCAAGTCATATTGATGAAGTTGCAGAGGAGAGATGACAGTGAACAAGAATGAAGCATTTTACAGTTGTAATATGGAAGAGTAGTAGGCATATATGGGACAAGTATAAGAGTATGTTCACATTTTACACATGTAAGAGGAGTGTCAGAGTATGTTAGGGCAAATATGAAAGTATATTCACATGTTTTGAACATGTAAGAGTATGTAAGAGGTTGGATCCAGGGATCTAGATAATTGAACAGGGCTTCAAGATGCTATTTTGAATAGGCCAGAAGAAATGGGAAGCTTTCAACATTGACAATAGTTCTACATAGGCAGAAATTTAGTCAATAAAGAACGAGAAAATAATTCAGTTATATATTTGGGGAGCACCAAAATATTAGTCACATTGAAACAAGCCTTAGAAGAAAATACTATTGCTGTACTAAAATCTATCAAGATATTTACAATTGTTATCTATTAAAATAATTGTAAACACAGACACACACACACACACACACGCACATCGTTGTCCTAAAATATTAGGTCTGTGGTATATGTTGTCCTATTTTCTAAATAGTATCGATCAATGTTATGCACTTTGATTCATGTTTGGCAGTTATTGTTAGCTATTATTAAGTAGTGAAACATATCACAGACATATAAATCAACCTAGATCATCATGTGTTGCTTAACAGTGGGGATGCATTTTGAGAAATTTGTCGCTAGACAATTTTGTCATTGTGTGAACAGCATCAAGTGTACTTACACAAACATAGATGGTACAGACTACTACACACCTAAACTACATGGTTCAGTTAATTGCTCGTAGACTACAAACCTATACAGCATGTTACTGTACTGAATACTATAGGGAATTGTAACACCATGGTATGTATTTGCCTATCTAAACATTAAAAAATTATAATTTATGACACCACCACTGTATGTTGTTGGAAACGTTATTATGTAACACATAACTGTAGCTGAAAAATAACAGCAACATAATTTAGAGTCACTTTTGGTCTTCTTTGTTTATGAATCTGATTTCATGCATCTACTTTTTAAATTGTGTTGGAGATAGTCCACTGATAGAGATGGGAAGAGTTCAAATAGTAGTGGGGCAATTAACTGCCAACTACATTTTAAACTTAATATGCTTTCTATATTTTTATATTTACATAGGATAATTAGTTCATTGTCATTTTATCATCCTCTGCTTATCATTTCCCTCGTTAAGTGTTCAGCAGGGACACTGCTTGAACAATTTTTTCTGCTCTTCAAAACAAGAATATCTCATTGTCATTGGAGTTATTTTGTAATCTGGATCAGAGGTTTGGAAATAATTGAGAAATCTCAACATCTATACTATCTTTAGCAACAAAAAATAAAATACGTCATATATGCCATCTACGTTACTGATTTACAAAATAAATAACTTTATATCCTTACATTATTAAGAAGTAACTAAAAATCCAATCGATTTTAGAATAACAAGTAATTTAAAATTTAGGTTTACATAGACAAGCTGCTTCTACCTTATTTGAATTTCTAGTGCTTTCACACTGAATTTCTATCAGAAGATTATTTGTATAGAGTATAAGTTATACTAATTGTATTCTAAAAATTCTTGTCAAATGCTAACATTGACATTCATATAACTTTTGAATTTATCACCAAGAGTTTTTAAGATAGTAGAGAAACTGAAGTCCAAGTCTTTCTGCTCTGCCATTTACTCTATGGTGTTGAAAGCCACTTTTATTTCCAGAACATGATTTTCTTCAGTTTTGTGTAAAATCAATTCTGTGACTGTATGTTTTTGCCTCCATCAGTAATCAGTATTGAAGTAAATAATCAGTCTATATGATGCCCCTGTATGTTGTTCTATTTTTTTTTTTTTTTTTTTTTTTTTTGAGGGAGTCTCACTTTGTTGCCCAGGGTGGAGTGTAGTGGTGCTGGTGCAATCTTGACTCACTGCAACCTCCATCTCCTGGGTTCAAGTGATTCTCCTGCCTCAGCTCCCCAAGTAGCTGGAATTACAGGTGTGCCTGGTGGTGCCCAGCTAATTTTTGTATTTTTAGTGGAGAAGGAGTTTCACCATGTTGGCCAGACTGGTCTCAAACTCGTGACCTCAAGTTATCTGCCCACCTCAACCTCCCAAAATGTTGGGATTACAGGCTTGAGCCACCGCACTTGGCCCTTTATATTTTATTCTTATTGAAGAATCCCAAATGGCCTTCTGAAACATGGAAAGCATACCCTGCAAAAGCTTCTTGGTTGCCAATCTGGCTTGTCTAGATGAGGTTTATGGAAAACCTGGCTAATTGTTCACATGTGGAGTTCCTCATCTACTCTTGGTCCAGGAATATAGGTAATATCAGAGAAAAATTAGCATGAAAATAGCATTTTAGAAATACAGGGGAAAATGTCACACCCAATTTTATTTTTCAGATGGGTTAGCTTTTACTACAGTCATTTTATTGTTGTTCTCTTTCACAAGAAAAATAGTATCATGATAAAGTCTGAAAATTGGTCTTTTACTTTATCCAAAAAAGATCAAAGGTAAGATAAGCAATAAGGAAAAATTCCTTAGGACTTTCCGTGATAACTAAATTACATTTCCCTCAAGAGATTTTCTTTTTGAGCTATCTAGTGGCAAAAGATTCTGAGGTATATGAATGATGGTTAGAAATAGACTCGGTACCCTATTCCTTGATGGTATTTGTGTATGTATAAAAAATTCATGATTATTATTCAGAAGTAGATTTGCTGGCATTTTAAAAAACATGATAGAAACACGTGGAATTTCCACTTTCCCTGGAAAAGCTTTTCCCAGCAAATCTCTCAGCCTCTCTACTGCCATTTTGAAGCAGAATAATTAATAATGTTAGGACAAAGTCTCTAGAAAATGAGCATTCTGTGGAACTCTTGGGCAAATGCTTTCAACTACTGGCTTGATAACTTTTTTTAACCTACATCAACAACTTTCAACTCTTTGTATAGCAAAGTGTGTCAAGGCCTGTGAAGCCTTTGCTGTTTAGCATATGATGAGCACACTTACTTTTAAATAGGATAAAGGGAAATTAGAACATTAGAGAAAGAATTAGTCCCATTTTACAACTCCCAATTCTATGAAATTAGATGTTTCTTCTGCTGTTTTTAAACATGTAAGTACGATATATTTTAAATTTACACTTTCTTTATTCTTTTCATTAAAACAATTTTGGCTGTTATTTTCCATTGTTAAATAAATTGAACATATTTCACTATAATTTATTTCCTCTGAGAATAAAACTGCATGTGTCTGCAACCAGGAGGGCAAAATGGCTTCAGTATGGAATGATGATAAGAGCAAATGAGTTTTCTCTTGTTATTATTAATAAAATAGATATTGCTAGCCATGTACCTTAGATAAGTCACTTGACTTCCCAGGGCTTTAATGTTAATCTCTGTAATATGTGGACACTTATTTTTTCCTCAGTTGTATGGGAAGCAATGATATAGCCTACTAGGAAAAAGTACAGGCCCTGGTATCAGGTTGTCTTGATTCAAGTACAATTAATAGCTCTTCTGCACGCTTAGTGATTTGAAGTACGTTACTTATTATCTCTGTGCCTCAATTTACGCATCTAAAACGGGGTGCAAGTATAGCACATTCCTTAGAGAGTTGTTATAAAAATTCATTGGTGAGTTAATTCAAGTACGTTTCATTAACTTTACCTAGTACTTAACAAGAAATAAGCAATTGGTAGAGGATAATTATTATTATTGTTATAATAAATAATATTAGTATTAATAGTTATTTTTAAGATGAAAGCATAATCTATGTGAATACCTTTTAAAAACGAAAATGGAAATTTCTTTTGTCACATCTACTAAACAAAGGAGTGTAGGGACATGAGAAGATTATCCATTTAAGGGCATTTTCCCATTCTATCAAATGGCACCTTGTCTTATACCTTGAAGGTCTTGTTTTAAACTAAACTAAGTAGCAGAGTAGAATGAAATGCTTGCTGTGACACACTGCTTTTTCTATAGTTCTTCCAGTCCAACGTTCTGAAAGGGTTTCTTTTTTTTTTTTTTTTTTTTTGAGGCAGAATCTTCCTTTATTGTCCAGGCTGGAGTGCAGTGGCACGATCTTAGCTTACTGCAGCCTGTGTCTCCCAAATTCAAGCAATTATCCCACCTCAGCCTCCCAAGTAGCTGGGATTACAGGTGCCTACCACCAAGTCAGGCTAATTTTTGTATCTTTAGTAGAGTCGGGTTTTGCCACATTGGCCAGGCTGGTCTTGAATTCCTGACCTCAACTGATCTGCCTGCCTTGGCCTCCCAAGAGCTGGGATCACAGGCATGAGCCACCATGCCTGCCTCTTAAAGGGTTTCTTTATATAGAAATGTAGGAGCCCCCATGATACCAAACCATCAAGATGTTACTCTCTATGTAGCAACCAAGGGATCGTGTAGAGCAAAATCCAAATACAGACTGATTCACTCACAATCTTTGTGCAGAAAATCAGGCATCATACGGATATTCCTTAAACTTAATGTCTGTTAGTTATTGCTTCTTGACCCAGTAAGAATATTATTATGTGTGATAGAGCTGCAAATACAAGGAATGAATAGAGAAAACAAGAAGTCTTTCATCATGTAAGATATCAGTCCTGTTTAGAGAACAAAAATGAAACAAGAGATGATATCCAGCAGTCATATTGGTTACTCGTACAAATGAATTTCTAAAATCCTACTTCATTTTCCAGATGAAACATATTCCAATAGGAATTAAGCCAAGTAGTAAGTCATTAGTATTTGGCTTATGCCTTATGTGGAATATGGGACAGCATAATTAAATCAATAACTGCTAAATTATCTAAATTGACAGGCAAGTGATATAGGGCACAATAAACAATGGCATAAACAAGTGCAGTTTTTAAAGAAGAATCTTACAAACTAGCTTTGTGTAATATTATCCCTATATACTCTTCTTGTTCCAGGAACTCCAGATTTTCTGGGAACAAAATTGAATAATTAGAATGTTTTTAGAATACATAATAAAAAGTCAAATACAAAGGCTAGACTAACTGCCCAGTTAATAATAAGCAGCCCCATAGGTACAGAGAGTCACAAAATGTCATACTTACTTAAAGTAAATACGTAGAATGACATAGAACTCCAACAACTAAAAAGGATCATTGTTATAGTGTGACAATAGGTACATTTTCAGGCTTTTAATTTTACTTTGCTGATTTATTTTTATTAAACAGTAGAACATTTATCTTTGATCCAACTTGTTTTGGTCATGCCATTTTGTACTCATGATTTTAAAATAAATTTGAAAAATTATTATATTATGTACCATAGATACTTCATGAGACTTTTCCTAAACAATATATTGGTTCTGTTTGACTAACCTCTTTTTTATTTCTTTAATGCTACTTCATGTCATATGTCATATAAATTTTACAATGCCCTTGCATATAATAGAATAACCCTGTGCTGTTTTTCTGTCCCCAGAGCCACAGACATGTACATTGAAAGATTTCCTCTGTGCCAATGGGGACTGTGTTTCTTCAAGGTTCTGGTGTGATGGAGATTTTGACTGTGCAGATGGCTCTGATGAGGTAGGCATTTTTGTAAAATCAAAAAGAAAGCAGTTCTTTAGAACCACATTTGTAATTATTATTACTCAGTCCAGTAAGTGCGGCAAGGACAGCTCAGAAATACACTTTACTCCTGACACACTGAGATAAGTATTATATCCGTGTGCTGGGCTGCACATCCCCAGCACAGGGAATAGCTCTTGTGCTGCTATTGACAGTTAATTTTATAGTCTGTTTTACCTCAACTGGTGAATAGCTGGGTTGGGAATAGGATGTTTGAAAACCCTATTCCCTATAGCGGATGCCCCTGCCATCTGTGAATTAGTTCATAAATTTGCTGCAGTATTTATAGTCAGGACTAATATTTTTATGCATTTTAAACAGTTTCTTCTCCCCAGTCTCTTTCTTCAATAGTTATAGTCTTACAGACATCGATATGGGTCATCAATTTTCATGAAACCACAGGTTGAGCTTTGCTTCCGTGATGAATCACAATCCATTTATAATAAGGCCTATGTACACACAGCTTTAAGTGAAAAAGTTTACAATTTCTCTGGAAAATTCTATGAACTTAGTCTGTGCTAACATTTATAAAACTTCATACAATTTGTTATTTATGAATTTATGTCCTTATGTTTCAGATATTAATTACTCCATGATGCTTTAAAAATAATAAACAACCCATGATTACATATATTTTTCTCAGTCAAATCTAAAAGGAACCCAGCTCTGATATCCCAGTATCAGTGATTTCACATAGGTAATATCAGAAACACAAGGTTTGCACAATCAAGTCCAGTAAGAAGTGAAGGAAAAAGAGCTCTGGCCGGGCGTGGTGGCTCACGCCTGTAATCCCAGCACTTTGGGAGGCTGAGGCGGGCGGATCATGAGATCAGGAGGTCGAGACCATCCTGGCCAACATGGTGAAACCCCATCTCTACTAAAATACAAAAAAATTAGCTGGGCATGATGGTGCACGCCTATAGTCCAAGCTAATTGGGAGACTGAGGGAGGGGAATCGCTTGAACCTGGGAGGCAGAGATTGCAGTGAGCTGAGATCGTGCCACTGCACTCCAGCATGGTGACAGAGCGAGACTTCACCTCAAAAAAATAAAAAAATATATATTGTTCCACAGCGTACACCATATATCCTGTATTGCAATGATTCCCTAAAGCTCTACTGCTCTGGTTGAGAAGCATATGTACTCACCTTTTATTAATGCCCTCCCACTGACCATAGACTTGGCCAGAGGATTTTTGCTGCAGCTCTGGAGGTTTCTGTGTTTCAGTTCCCAATTCCCTAGATATCCACTGATTTCCTGCCTCTGGGGGAGACACTACAGGTTTCTGCTCTTTACAGAATTTATGCAAACTAGGTCTCTTCCCACCCTGAGGCATTCCCTATAGGACTGGACAATTCTCCCTTCTCTCACCTTTTTGAAAAGTCACAATAACCACATTCAATAGCCTATATTTTGAAAACAAACACGTGTAATTTCTCACCTGAGGGCTAGCAAAACCTAAGTCTCAAGGATGAGAAGGTCACTCAAGAGAAAAAGTTGAAAAATACAGCACTTCTAGTCATGGAGCTCTTCACAAAATAAAAGTCAAACCATTTTTTTTTTTTTTTTAACACAAAGGAGAGTTACATTTTTTACATTTACCAGCCACATATTTACCTAACATTCATACATTTGAAAATTACATTAAACTTTTCTAAGGCAGAAAAACACACTTTAATTAAACTCATCCATGAAAATATATTGGCTTTGGTTTTATTTAATATGTCGAACCAATCTGGGTAATATGTAAAACATCAAGAGGTGGGGCTATATTGCTTAAGGCTTATATATTTATCTTGAATCATATTCACAAGATGTGCAAAGTGTTTATACAGAATCGAATACTACTTCTTTAAAATCTTATTCGTGTAAAAGTAGATATCCTTATTACCATGTCTCTCATCCCATAAGTTGGTGAACACAGTGATTTGATGGTTAAATATATATCCATATATCCAGACATTTGCATGATAAGGCTCAGAAGAAATGAAATTTATTGTAGTAAAGTCATTTTTCTCTATATTTATAGATGTTTAGTGCAGTCTATATGTAATGAAGTAGCTAACACTATTGGTAGTTGATTTCTATCTTTTTTTTTTTACCATCTAGACAAAAAAAAGACTGAACAAATGGCTAGAAAGCAGAATTACACACAGAATACTCTCACATTAAGAACAAAAATTGAGAGAATTGTGAAGATAAGTTTCTGTATGAATGAAACTGATAATATTAGCTTGTTAATAACAAAAAAATAAGAAATTTAAAAAGTTTGTTCAATCTAATTGTATAGCAAGTATTTATCTCTGTGGTACACACAAAGAATGATTATTTAAAGTGATTTTAAATTATAATATTTTTCCTCTACATTTAGCATAATATGTTGTAAGAACAAAAAAGCAAAGAAATCTTAAACTGCATTCATAGACTTACTGTTAATAATAATAGTGGTTCTGCTAATTTGAAACATATAGGGAAGTTCAAATGCTTATTTATGTCAATGTCATTAGAACTCAAAATTTAAAAGTAAAAGAAAGGAGATATAAATGTAGAAACAAAAAGTTAAGTAAAAATCCTCTCTTATTAAATCCGAAAGTATCTTTATAAGATCTTGATTAATCTTTCTCTTTCTAAAAATATGTGATTTCTACTTCTGCCAGTGAAAAGTCCTAGGATAAACCAATGGTAATGACTATCCTGAAATTCACCAAGTGGTCTCTAAATACCATTTTCCAATTAAAGGAAAGAAGACTCCTTTGAGATATGCCTAATTTTAGGTCTGAGAAAATAAATTGACAAGATGAGCTGCTAACATCTGAGATTATTAAAAGAGTGTACAAAGTGCACAAGAACAAACTTAAAGGAACTTCCACTGACAAAAGGGACAATTTGAGCATTAGAAAGAAAAATGACTGGAAGGGATTAAAACCCACACATACACACGCATACACACACACAATGTATAAAAATCAATGAGTTCACAACAATATTTTAAAAAGCAAAAGCTCATTAGTCACTTTGGAGGTTGCAAAGGTAACAACATTTTTAGGATGCAATTAGTCAAATTCAGAATGTGAACTATTCTATAGTATAACTGAACTGTTTTCTTCAAGTAGTAAATGGCAAAATGGCATTTTAAAAAACTGAAGAATGAGAAATAGTTATACATTAAAGAAACTTTAATTCAAGGTATAGATCTCTTTTGAGTCCTTACGTTACAAAACAGTATTTTATATAGCTAAGTGACACACCCGTGCCATTGGTCATTGAGCTGTTTTACTTAAATGAGCCCACTTGCAGAGATAATAATTCATTGCTTCTAAAAATGTTTACTGGATAGTTATTATAATCATGTGACAGTATTAGATACTTGGTTCACAGACAGGCATGATCTTTATCCCAGTAGAGCTGGGATAAAGTTTTATGAGATGTTAATTTATATTTGTTTTCTACATTTGCTAGTTTATTAATTTATTAATTCACTCAGCGGTTTGTATGGAAAGTTTACTACATCCCAGACACTAACAGTATGGAGAATACAGTGGTGAATAAAACACATGACATCTCTTTCTTATGACATTCTCTAATGTCTTTCACGTCATTTGCTATTATGTAGCTTACTCCAGATATCCCACATTTCCGATTATCCTTACACATAAAAAGCTTTTTCTTAAGTAGTTCCATTTCTACTTAAACTGTCGTCACAAAGAGAAAATTTCAGAAATTTAGAAAGTGAACTCTCCTTCCTTACATGGGGATGAAACTGGGAAGAAGCAGCAAGTAGTAGTTCAACGTGCTTTACTTGCTAGGAGTTCCATAAACCATGAGATTGTTACACTTTCTGTGGAAGAAGCAGACAAGTACTTTTTGGCAAAAATAGAAATTCTCTAACAACAGAAAACATCATCCCAGTGAGACACTTCGTTAGAGTAGTCCATTTCAACCAGAGTGTTCAGACCCAGGAAAGGTGATTTCTAGTGACTCCATTTCATTCATCTCATATGCAGATCCTCAAAGGTAAATTTGCCATCTTGTTTGACTTCCACATAAAATCTGTATATGGACTAGCAGAAATGAAAATGTTGACAGTTCATTTCATAGTGCTTTAGGGAACAATACCGGAAAAGAAGAGAAGGAGAATTACAAACAACTAAACTGTAAAAGGACTGGTGCAAAGGAAAAGAGATGGAGAGAGGGGAAAGAAGGAACACCAGGGGAAGCTTTGCCAATGCAAAACAGATTTGTCTTAGGATTTTTGTTTGTTTTGCATTCCATATCCCTAGCCTTCTTCTCCCTCTAGCCAATAAACTGGATGTAGTTGCTTAGAATTAATTTTTGAAAAAAAAATTGTTTTTAAACAAGATGTGGCTACATTTCCTAGACTGGAGTGCAGTGGTATTCATGTGTGCCTATCATAGCACACAACAGCCTCAAAGTCCTGGACTCAAGCAATCCCTGCCTCAGCCTCTTGAGTGGCTGGGGCTATTGTGCCAGCTAGAAGTAATTCTTTAACCCTTTTATTATCTCACAATCTTCATTATCACCTACAATTCTTAAAATTCCATTACCCCATAACTGTCTACTGAATAATCATACTCTCAGAGTAACTTAATTAGCATGATGAAGCCATCACATTTGTGTTCTTTTTTTTCCATTTTTTGTTTTATTATGACACACAGGGACAAATCAAAGTGGAAAATTGTTATTATTCTGTTATTTAGTCATGGCCTTAAAATATTAGCATCTGAGCCACTTTTATACAGTAGACATGGTTCCTACACTTCTGGGTTTCTGTGCATAAGTTGTCTAGTCTTTTAGTTTGTAAACATTTTTCTAAAAATGCAATTTTAATTACATCTGTGTTGTTTTTGACAGAGAAATTGTGAAACAAGTTGTTCCAAGATCACATCCAGGTTTTCTGTACATAAGTTTCCTTATCTTTTAAGTGTGTAGATGTGTTTCTAAAATTTTAATTTTAATTATATCTCTGTTGTTTTTCATAGAGAAATTGTGAAATAAGTTGTTCCAAAGATCAGTTCCAATGTTCCAATGGTCAGTGTATACCAGCAAAATGGAAATGTGATGGCCATGAAGACTGTAAATATGGGGAAGATGAGAAAAGCTGTGAGCCAGGTAAAAGGATTGAAGTGATATTTCATTTAGTTAACATTTTACCTTTCTAGAATTTAAATTTAAGCAGCAATATGCAGAAAACAGTGGCAAATATGTCATATGTTTACCATGTTTAAGAAATGGTCTGCAAATCTGTGGATAAATTAATTAGTGTGTTCTTCATATGTTTTGAAAGTGTTTTGGAAGATAAGATCATTACTTATTAATGGAATCCAATCATAATTTCCCCAAATTTGATTTTCTGGTATCTATATCATATTATACCATTTGGAATTGTTTCCCCAAGACAGCAAAGTAAAATCTGTTGAAATTATAAGTACAGTAAAAGACAAGTTTTTAGTTATGGAAATGATGATTATGAACTAGAATGTACCCATTTCAATGTGATGCTAGCTAAGAAGAAGCATAATTGTATTATTTGTATTTACATCTTGGGCTAAAATTTGAGTAAAGTTAGAAAGCAAAGCCAGAAAAAAAGATACACTATTCAATTTATGTGCTAGGTGGCTCTATAAATATACTCATTAAAACACTTCATTTTTAATTATATATTTTAATTACATTATCTTACAGAAAAATATTACTGGTGGAAACTATACTATAATGTATGTATGACCATAAAAACATTACCTTGAGAGACTAGGTCAGAGTCACAGCTACAAGACTCATACATTACTATGATCCAGTACCATGTCCATGGGCCATATTGTTAATTGATCACTTATTTCTTTCTTACTAAATACAGACATGTTATTAGACTCCTTATGTACACAGATCCCTAGACAAACACTGCCAATTAAAAGGAGTTAAAACTCAAGGAAAAAGCTTTTTAGTATCCTTGAGCTAAGGAATTCAGACCACGAAGTCATTAAGTAAGTACAATAGACTACATAGTGGTCTAACAGAAGGTCAGAAGCCCAGACGTTTGAATGCAAGCCTAGCCAACTCAAGCCCATAGACAGAGGCAGCTGTCATAATTTCTGTCAATTAATTAGACTGGGTAATATTTACATCTTGTGACTAATACACTTACAAATATTACAAACTTGCCAATATTATACTTGTAAATAACATTTAGCTGCTTGTTTTTCTTAATTTCTGCATCATAAAGGAACGCTGCACATTCTGTTAACTCTGTTAATTACACATGTATTCATATTTAAAATCCCCAAACAATGCAATTCTTAGAACCTATTCAAATATTTTATTTATGTCAATGCAACGAAATAGACATCATTGGGTCTATGAGACCATGCCAAGATTTCTACTTTGTGCTTTATGCAGTGAATGTAAGATTAACATACTCAAAGGTTACTAAATATTATTACAGTTTTGAAAGTCATTTGAGACTTCAATAATTTAAAATAATTTAATTTAAAATTGTAAAAATAAAAACTCGTGTAACACTTCAAAATCAAAGGGATGAAGGATATCAAGGTTTTCTTTTTCCTTCTATGGACTATTGAGTAAAATTCTTACTGCACAGGCTATTACATCATGAAGTATATTTAATATAATGCAATAATATTATAAATAATTATAAAATTATTTAAATAATTTAAATGAATCTGTAATATCAGTCTTTAAATATATTTATATAGTATAAACTATTTTTATTACATATATAAATTCATATACTTATATGTTTATGTTTTTATTTCTAAAACCTGTTATTTTTATTCTATCTCAATCTCAAATTTATAATTGCATTCAGCTTCTCCTACTTGCTCATCAAGTGAATATATATGTGCCAGTGGTGGATGTATTTCAGCATCTTTGAAATGTAATGGAGAATATGATTGTGCTGATGGTTCAGATGAGGTAAAATATATTGTTTAATTAAAATATTTGAATTACATGAATTAGGTTTGGGCAAACAAATGTAATGAAAATAAAGGAAAGAATCTTGATTCTTAGCACAGTTTAACATGTTGGATATGTACATTGAATGCAATCATTTCAGCAAATACTTGAATCTTCATGCTGTCCATATACTAAAGTTCATTCTCATTTGTAGAAGTTATATTCATTAAGACAAAGTGAAAGGAAGTGCATGGTATAATAAATCTCTAGTATTACAAGCTGCATGTTTATTTTGACCATGATTGTGTCATTATCATTAATGAAAACTGCAGTGTCCATTTGTATTTGAGCAGATGGACTGTGTGACTGAATGTAAGGAAGATCAGTTTCGGTGCAAAAATAAAGCCCGCTGTATTCCAATTAGATGGCTGTGTGATGGAATTCATGACTGTGTGGATGGCAGTGATGAAGAGAACTGCGACAGAGGTAAGGTATTTGTGTATGTGAGTGCCTGTAAATGAGAGAATGAGAGTTAAGGTGCTGTGCAGAATATACAGTGTGTGCTAGAGGCAGAGGATAGAATCTTTAAATGATTCTCTTTCCTCTTCCAAGTTTCCTTACATAGCAGCCTGGTCTAAATATGCAAAATCCAGATCATTGTCAGACAGAGCATAATCTCAATCTGGGCATGACAAACACTAGCGCTGGGCAAGAGTTAACTGAGTGTCTACCATTTCAGACTAGATGCCAGGTCAAGTATAGGGATATGTGGAGAATACAGAGAAAGTAGTCAATAAAACCATGACTACAAAAGTATATCCTGAATTTTCTGTACATTCTTTCCTTTCACATTGCTTGCCTTACTCTGAAAACATAGGAACAACAGATGGCATACTCAATTGCACACATTCATATGCTGTATGATATCTAGGTATAGGCCATGCCCCAAATCCCTAAATTTCCTTATTGCAATATCATTGAGAAAATAACCTACATTTTTTTTGTCAGTCTAAAAGACAACTTTCCGTTTTGTCATAGATTATTTCCCAGCTACGCGAAGATCATTTTCTGACAGATAACCACATTTTAGTTTCAAGCCACCACATTAAATGTAGCAATGGTTACTACTTAATTTCCCAAAGCAATTGTGTGCTGAAGATTAAAATGATCACAAATGAATCCATATTTGCTATTTTCATTTTGTTAAATACATGTTTTAAATACAAAATTTCTTGTGACCTGCTTACAAAGTCTCTCAATAGAGTTTACACTTCTTGGTGTTTAGAAGATCATTAATAGAGATGGTACTACATATTGCCACGTGATTCAAGGCACTTGAATGTGCACTCTAGGTTTACATACTTTAAATCTGTCTCACATGTTTACTTTTGTGAATATGTAGTCACATAAGAAAAACAGTATTTTACTTTCTTTGATATTATTTGAGATGTTTATGGATATCTCCATCCCAAACCTGATAAAGTGTTGTATTATGAAGAAAAAAAATAGTTTTTTTGGTTTGCTTTTTTTTTTTTTTTTTTTTTTTAACAGCTCCTTGCAGAGCAGGGCTAACTCATAGGAAGTGCACCCAAAGTAGGCCTTCAATTTCATTTTGAATTTGCTGTTTATAATAGAGAGCGGTGAAATGTTAAATGTCCATAATAGCTCTTTCTAACTTAGGCTAAGTTCTCACACTTGCTGTCTGTAATTGGTCACTCTAGAGACAGCAAACGTTGTGGACAGTCTGGCAGCAATAACTCATGTGACTTTTGTATTCAAAGGTTTGGGGATGATGATTAAGCTACTCCTTGTTTTCCATATTCTAGCGAATCACCTCTGTTGCTCAGCTTCAATCACTACCACCTGCCTAGTTCATTCTCCCATTGCTTCTTGCTTGGACTGGCATAATGCCATGTAACTGGTCTCCCGTACATCCTATTTACTGTTACAAGGTTCATCTTATGTAAGTGTCCCTCCGATTGTGTCAGTTTTTACTCAAGGTACCTGATTACATACAAACAATTCAATCTAGTAATCAGGGTTACAAGAAAATGAGCCCATTTTACCCTCCCAGGCTTACTTTCTACTGTGCCTCTTTATGTATTGTATCCTAGCCAAACTAGAAAATCTCAACTACCTTTCAGATCTAAAATTATTCTACTAAATATTTAATCTTAATGACTATAAAAGAGTTGAGAGCCTTTAATTCAATCATTTACAAATGTTTCAAAGCCCCCTTCCCCTCCATTCATACCTCTAACTTGGTTTTCTTTGCTGCTGGGTAATTAAGCTCCAATGACATATTTTAGTGGTTAAATTATTTGATCCCATATGAATGTACCATAAGGCATTACCACATTCAGATTTCTAGTATTTAATTTACTCCCAGGAAGTGGCGTAGGTATTAGGTAAAGGCATTTTAAGGCATTGAGGAAATGGGATGCCAGAATAAACATCTTTTCTGTTAAATCTCATTTCCATTCATTTCCAATCAGGATACACATGAGCTATAGGAGCTGAGTGTTGGGAACAGGAATATATGAGAGCTGAAGGATAAGCATAACACATTTTCCCAGTGAATCAGTTTTACTTGTTTACTTTAAAAGACAAAAATTCAAAATACTCTGGAATTAAAAGCTGCATTCATACTTTCGAAGGTAAAATATATGTCCTCAAGGAAGTGTGGTGCTTGTTCTGGCCTGAGTTTCAAACTTTACACTTTATATAATACTGGTGGAAAAGATTGGGCGGTTCTTTTTTGAGTAATTATCAGCTTAACAATATGTAAGTTAGTCAAATAAATTATAAAGTATTATCATGTATTAAAGCTTCTCTCAACCCAATTAAGATGAGAACTCTAGATGTTTATTTTCTGTGATGATGCACTTGACCAGATTTATATGAACTTTTCAAGGCCTCTGTTATAATTTAGATGTATTATTGTTAATTAATATATACTTTTCTATTTTCCTAATATTTCCTGTTGAGCTGATTAAGAACATAACTGGGAAACTGGAATTTTAATTCAGCCAATCTCTTTAAATTATACCTTTTTTGTTGTTTATATGTGCTTTATGCCATTTCAAAATAAGGAATTTTAAGTGAGTCTCAGGATGTCGTGGTAGCCCCATGATGCATTTTTTTTTAATGTAAATTTTTTGGAGTACAACATCAAGTCTTTAGTAGGTTACCACAAAACCTTTGCCTTTCTGTTATAATATAATTTCATTTATACTTCTCTTCTTTTTAATAAATCAGTGGCATATCCAACACTCATGTGGAGAAAATTATAATGTTATCTAATGCAATACCTTAGGGAACTCATTTTTTAACAAGACTGATGTATATGGTACAAATAGAATTTTCTAAAATAATCGGAGAATGTCAAAAGTTCACAAATTCTGTTTGAATGTAATCCATTGTAAAATGGAGCATGTTATGAGATTTAGTCATTAGAATCTTTATGCTAAAAGTAAACTCTGCTTCATATTCTATGGATTTGATTTTGAGTTAAGGCAATATACTCACTTCTTACTGATATTCATATCTTTAATTTCTTTAGTCCTAAGGACTGCGCACTGCACATGCTATCTTTTTTTATTTTTTTCAGAGTGAGACAGTTGTTAAATAGTACTGAATTTTATTGCACAGGTTTTCATAATTGAGATTAATTGTAAAATTATAGCAGTATGGAGCTCAGCATTGCAGAAGTTTGGGAGAAAGGGCTATCCCAATGACAGATGTTGAACTGTCAGAGTCTCACATGGTGATATTCACTTTGGTGGATTCACCCAGCCCTTGCCTTTGTCTGTTTCTTAGTTTGATGGTTCTCAGAGATGGCAATGTAAGCTGTACCAGTTCTGCTAAGCACTTTTGCAGACAATTGTACTATTATTCAGATCAATATCACTATAAATTCTTGGCCTAAGCTTTATCTTTTACTTAAGATACTAAGCAGTCTGCCCTTGTTTTCCTAATCATGTTTCTGCCATTAATCATATCAGGTTTTTAAAAAGGCAACTATCCAAATCTGTTACCAAGCCATCTCTCTTAGTAACTTCACCTTCTTCTTTACAGAAATGATAAAAATCATGAGCATTTTTCAAATCTGGCCACCAAACTAACAAATCTACCTGTAGCTGGCCTCAGGCTTTCCTCCTTCCTTCCTCCTCAAACAGAAGACTTGTTTCACTTCCAGTCTAAGCCCATTCCTTTCATTTTGCTCTAGATCTCAAATCTCTCACACTCTCTGGATCCTCCAGAAACTCGTTACATTAGTTACCCTTTTGCTCTCCTGTACCCTCAAATGTGTCTTGTCTACTGAATTCTTATCAGAAGCATTTAAACGTGTTCAGGGATTTGTTCTTCCTCACACAAGCAACGAGGCTCACTTTCCGGTCTCTTTTTTCCCTTTATGGCCAAACTTCTGGAAAGAGATGTTTACATTCACCTCCGTCTTCTCATTCAATAGCCAATGACAATCATTTCATTAAACTCACTGCCATTTCACTAAACCTGCTCTAGAGTTAGTTACATGGGCTATCCCTCTCATTAGAACACTTTCTCCATGTATTGTCTGGCATCACTCTTTCCAGATATTTCTCTAACCATTTTGATTACTTTTTCTCAGTCTCTTTTGTAGACTCCTCTTTACTTACCCAATCTGTTTTTCTCTGTGTTCTCTTTTAAATTTCAAATCATAACTATATTCTGATCACTGCCAGATGCACGTTTACAGCTCAAAAACCTATCCTATATTTCAGACATATTTATCCACCAGCTTGCTCGACATCACCACATGGCTGTCTACCAGTACCTTAAATGAATTATGTCTTAAGCCTGCTCCTCCTGCTGTGTTCCTTTATTTAATGAACAATACCATCTATCAAACGGCCCAAACACACTAAAAAATGAGTTCCATGTTTGTGTGCTCACTCTCCTTTGCCACTCTCATCTATTTAGCCACCAGGTCCTGAGGAGTGTTCCTTCTGAAGAGTTCTCAGCTGTGGCTCCTCTAGATGTAGTTACCATCATTTCTTCTCTGGATTGCCATGACCTCTCTTGAAATATGTCTTTTTCCTTCAGTGTTGTCTTTACTGTCTCTCTCTTCAAATTTAGAATTTCTAAATTCTCGACACCAGAGCTAGAGTTTTCATTCTACAATCCAACTGATTCTAGCACTTCTTAAATTAAGACTTTTGCTACTGAATGTGAGTTATCAGAGATTTGTGTAACAAGTCAGAACTCAGAACAAGAAGAATTATTTGATCTTCATAAGTTCGGGCCCATTATTCCTTCCAAAGTACATCTGCAAGAGGAACAATGGCTCTTTCTGGGTATTTTCTAGGCTTTTAAGGGTGATCACTGTCACTGCTCTGCCCCATATTTTGGTGAATGTATGTGTGTTTAAATATGTTAATACCTTCAGTAAGTCAAATATGGGCAACCCATGACTCATAGCTCTTACCTATATATGAGGATTAACTAGGTAGTGTAACCCTTTGGAAGCAATCTAATTTTTCTTAATTCTGTACTCTGATGTTTGTATTGTTTCCCCAGGCACTTCTTGCACCTATGACCCTATACATTAACTGTACCTCTTTTATAACATATAAAAACATTGAGTCCCAGAGATATTAATAGAGTTATCCAAAGCAAGACTAGAACCCACAGTTCCTAACTCTCAAGTCCTAAAACTCCACTGTGTATTGCTACACCTCTAGACATATAACCCAAATTTGTTTGTTACTTAGGTCCTTTGCATGTGGTAGATGTACTTAAGAATTGTGTATTAGAATATTTTTGTATTCCTGATGTTTTTATTTATTTGTTAAAGGAGGAAAATGCAAACATTTTAAAAATCCAAAAAATAATGCTTTACTGCACAATCTTTATTAAAAAAAAAATCCCTGAAATATTGTATGATATGGCTAAATTCTTATTGCTGTTAGAAAATTGTTTCTTTCTGATTTCAAAAAAAATTTTACTGGTTATTCTAAGTTTTTAATAATCTAGTTTATCAGTATTTCAGATACAGCTAAATTGTCTAATGATTCTAAAAAATGTCTTTTCTTCAAGAAAAACACAAATTTTAATAATTACAATTAAAACTAAAAAATACAAATTTCTGTGTATTCAGCAACACAAAAATTATGTGAAACAGAGAAAACTTTAGATTCTTAAAAACTTTCTTTTAACATCTTATCAGTATTTTCTAAAAAAAAGACATATATGAAAGTAATATTAGAATGTTTTGAAATGTAAACAGTGAATACATTTTATTAAAAAAATTGAACATTACTTGTTTCTGGTATTATGCTCGAAATAAATAAATGGAAGCAATCAACTAGATACTGTTTGCTAAGATTCAGAGGAATATGTGTCCTGCTGACTGGCATTGATTACCCTGAATCTCTTTGTTTCTTTTTGTTTTAAAATAAAGGAGGAAATATATGTAGAGCTGATGAGTTCCTTTGCAATAATTCTCTCTGCAAACTACATTCCTGGGTGTGTGATGGAGAGGACGACTGTGGAGACAACTCTGATGAAGCCCCTGATATGTGTGGTATGGCATTTCATGTGGCTCTAGATTATACTTGTATCTTCTGATCTCATGCCCCAGCATGAATCAATGAAGTGGTGAGGTGAACTACAAATTATACCATCCTGGGGTTAGGTAGATAAAGTGTAACCACAGATACAGCTTTCGTTCAGGTAATAAAGGGGTAATCCTGTTCAGAAGTTATGACTTTATAGAGACTCATCCTAATGTGAACTTGCACAAGTCAACACTATTCAGAAGAGAGATAGAGTAATTGACATTTTAATGGAATAAGATTCATATAATAATTTTGGCTTCACATGAAATTGGAGCTTTATGTTAATTTTGGAGGGGTACAGATAAGCAAAGTAAAAATACATGAATAATAAAATCTCATGTTTCACGAGCCACCCACTAATTAAATATCTATCTATCTATCTATCATCTATCTATTAATCATCTATCTGTATATCTATCTATCCACATATCTATCTCTCTGTTTCATTACAAGTCTTAAGCACAGAACTGAAATTAGGAGTTATTTAACATTTAAACCTAAAGAATCTTAACAAAAGTTATTGTTTCTCCAAATTCAAGTTACTCTTGACTGACATTTATCCTGTATATGCTTATGAGACCAACAAATATAAAAGTCTAATTTTAGATCAGCAGCATAAAGGATCTCTTCTATTTTAACGAACTTTTTTGGTCTCTGTTCTCATACCTTTTATCTAATCTCTGCAAGAAATGTAATTTCACCTATATTTTAAAGGAAAATGCTGCCATGTCAGATATAACTCAGTGGCACACCAGGTAAATTAAAGAAAGAAAATACAGCATGAGTGTATGTACTTACACTTTTTGTTCTATTTGTTGCATCAAGTTAAGGCAATATTTAGATATAGATGGTGGCATTTCACTACTGATGTTACAGTCGGGGAAAATACAAAAATGCAGGCAGCTTTGTTTTGTTAAGTATTTAAAAGTTGGAAAAAAAAAAAACAGGCTTTGGAGAGTTTTTTTTCTATAGATAAAACTCATTACGATGAGTAATGCAACTAAGTTTCAGCTTCAGTTTTCTTTACATAATCTTCGAAATAAACTCTGGGTAATCACCAGGGATTATATTGTTTCTGAATCATAATATATTAAACAATATGAGAGCTTATCTACCAACATCAATCCAGAACCTTTTTTTTTTTTCAATTATATGACTTTTTTTTCTATTCTCTATCCTATGTGACCACAAAACCAGTGAGTGGAATAGAAAATTTTTGATAATCGATGTACGGCTGCAGAATCAAACTCTCCTAGAGCCACTTCCAGGGCCGTGAATTGATTCTCAGGAGCATTCCACACAGCACAGATGGGAAACCTTGTAATGTCCAGATTGACTGTGTGAACATTTTTGTGTTTCTCTCAGTGAGCAATATCAACATTGAGTCAAGCTATTATGTGCCAGAAATTGTGCTAATTAGGACAAAAAATGGTTCTTTTTGACAAGGAGATCTTATTCTGCCTGTACAAATAAAAATAATTGTGATACCGTGTATTTCCAGCAATGATAGAATTAATTAAAAGTATGGAAAAGGCAGAGAGATTCAATGAACTCTACCTAAAGAATAATACAGAAAGCTACAGCGTTGAAGGAGCTAGACTAAAAGACATCTTAAGCAATGTGAATGGCATGAGAAAAGGTATCATTCATTCATTCAACAGACATTTGTTCAGCAAGAGACTATGATTAATTTGGTGACATAATGATGAAAGAAGTGAACACGAACCCTGACCTCACAGAGCTTAGAATCTAGTGGAAGATGGATATTAATGGGAACAAAAATATATACTTACAAATTATGATACATACTATAAATAAAAAGTATGGTAATTTGTAAAAGTATGGAACAGAAAGATTTTATCAATCATAGGGTTTGAGAAATAACATTTTAGTTCAGGCCTGGGAAATATTTAGCTGCTGAATAGGTGAAAAGAATTGAGGTTGGGAGTGGAAGTGTGACACAAAATTGCAGACAAAGGAAATAAGATATGTGAAGGCTCTGGGCAGGGCAAACCATGGCTTACTCAAGGAACTGAAGGATTTGTGTTCCCAGGAGTTACAGGCATTCTGGATTTACCAGATTGTAGCCAGATAAACACATTGTAAACAGGAAATAATGTAAATTGACAGTGTGTGTTTGACTTTAAAATATTTTCAACATATAAAGGATACATCAGGACATAATCCCATAGTAAGTTGAGGAGAACATGTGTTGCTTTCACACTGTCATCAAGTCAGAAAAGCTTAAATTGAACTATTGTTAAATTGGAGATTATCCGGATTTGCTTAGGATGGAACTAGAAACAGCAGAGATATCTGCAGCCTTGATTAGCTGGAAAGTAATTGGAAATACTAAGGAGTTTTAAGCAGAGGAGGTGCATGGTCATATTTAAATTTTACAAATATTGAATAGAAAGGATTGTAAGTGGTTAACAACATGGTAGTACTTTAGGCAAGCTATGCTAGTAGCTTGGGTTGAGATGGTAACAGCTTGTGCTAGCACAATATAGACAGATTTGAATGTTATATAAGAGGCAGAAGAAACTGGATTAAATGATGGATCAGATATGGTGAATGAGAGACAGCAAGTTGTGGAGTATAATGTGTACGTTGTTTTTGCTTTGTCGTTTGAATGGAAGGGGGTCACAGGAAAGGGAACAATTTTACAAGTAAAGATTAGAAGACTGGACTGGGATGCATTTGAGGAGACATTGAAGTAGAGGTTTCAAGTAGGCATCAGATGCTTGATTCTCACACTGAAAGGAAAGAGGTAGTCTACAGATAGAAATTCGACAACCAGCATAAAATGTAATAAATAGAATGGAATATTTAGGATTATGCTGTGTGGAAATAAAGATAGGACAGGAAAGGAATTATCAAAGAATATTGAGTGACAGTAAGTCCCTAAGTGAAAATGAACTGGCAGAAGAGACTCCGGTAAGTGACCACAGAAGGCATTGCGAAAAAGTAGAGTGAGGCACCAGAGACACCAAAGTAATAACATGTTTCAGCAAAGATGTGATGGTTTCTGCAGAGGCAGGGGAAAATGAGTTCCAGAAAAATGATTATTTTTACGTAGGAGTCAACTATTCTTCTGTCTCTGCTCTTAAAATATAGAAATGAGTTGATAGACTACATATAGATACAGGTAGATCTGAAATTATTTAATAATACGTTAAGAAATTTCCCATCTTTGTATTTCTACTTATTTTTGTACTCTCTATATATATGCTTTCCAAGTAGCATTGATAAATATTCATACTTGGTGGTATCAGTTGACCTTGTAGTATGATCCTCTGCAACATTTCTGGCTTCCCAGATGCAGATATTGGGAGAGCAGATGGTTTCGTTCATCTAAGTTTAGGGTTATTTTGGATAACTAAGATGAAAAAGAGAAAAGGGCCAGAGAATACAGGTTATTGGGAAGAAAGTGGGTTTCTAAACTTACCTAGTACTTAGAACAGTATCCAACGTATTATAGGTTACTATAAATATTAATGGGGAGAAAAGTACAGACAACAGTCATTGGTGAATAGGGAAAAGGTAGCTACATCAATGAGCTAGAGTTAAGATAAAGTGGAAGAGTCTTTGCAATGATACTGATTGGATTAAAAATCTTTTAAAAAAGAGATTGTGCTCAAAATGGGGCATTCATACCAGTGGTTTCACAAATAAAGTAAATTATAGGAAACAGCAAATTTATGCTGCAACTGTTTATACAAGTTAGTATTCTTAATGGCAAGCAACAGAAACTGCCACTGTGAATCACAAATAGAAATTTGTTGAAATCCACCAATGTGAACAACCTCCTAGGAGAGTGTTGGCTTAGTTAGGATTAGAGTAAAAGGACATAGGGTATAAGAAATTTAAGGAGCTAAGAAACCTCATTGGCTGGTTTTCTTATGTGAATGCTGAAGCCATCTAAGATGCTAGAATGAATTTAAATGGAGATCTTAAAAGACTATGATGGAATGTGCTAGTCTTCAGTAAACTGGGGTGGAGATGATGTTTTTGAAGTTGATTAGAAAATAGCAGTGGCGTGAAGATGTAATCAAATGTCTAGCCTTCAAAATACATTATTTTGTTTTAGATAATTGAAGTAATAGTTTATTTCAGATAATAGAAAGTAAAGATAGGATAAAGCTATGGAAGCTATAGTAGGAAACTAGGATGTTTTCAAACATGAGATGACATGAGGTTTGACCAAATTAAGAGACATTCCTAAAAGATCTAAAGAGGAGGGAGTATATTTAGAAAATGGACCAAATTTCACTTAAAGCAAGGAAGTCAGGGATGGAGTGCAACTTATTTAAGAAGCTGTAATAAAGTTGTATTGCTCAAATATTGAGATGGACAAAGGATGAGTCTGCAGGATTGGCACGAACAAGATAGTGACAAGTCTATTAGGCCATTCAAAGTATCTTAAATTGTATTCTCAAGGAAATTGATAACTGTAGAACAAATGGTTACATGAATATGTTAGACTTATTTTTTTCTCGTGGCTTTTTGAGGCTCTGAGAATGGAATATGAAGCTGGACACATTCAGCATGTCTCTCTGCAAAAGATAATAAACGCTAAGCTATTGTAACTGGTAGAGATGGCTAGAAGATGCCAAACCTGGGGACAATAGCAACAGGATTTGGTGACTACTGAGAATTGATGGTCAATGGGGGGAATACATTCGAATAATTCCAGACTTTTGGCTATGATATGCCACCAACTGAACAATGGAAATAAAGCGTGTTTGAGAACAAGAGGTTAAGACGAGATGATAAAGAGCTGAGTGATGAGCTTGTTAAATTTGAAACTGTTGAGGGGATGTCGTACAACCAATTGTGAGATGTTTGAACTAGATAGAGAATTGAAAGTCTTCAGGATGTAGTGGAAAGTAAATCAATGAGAGTGAACAAACATATATAAGCAAAGAATTCAAGTGTGAGAACATCAGGGGAACAACGACAGAGTCCTGGATAATTTCACATCTAAGGATGAAGACTAATGACAGGTACTTCCTGCTTTAAGAGTAGAAGTCTTCAGATTAGATAGTAATAGAGGAGACAAATGTAAAATTCCCTGGCTTTCATTGTGGTCTTTTTAAATACACACAAAAATATGCACATTAAAAACGAATAGCTAAGATCATCTATGTGCCTCAAATACATAAATAAACCTTTGTTTACAGAGACAAAGAGTAAGAAATAAAGCTATAATACTGTTGGGATTTTTGTTTGTTTTTTTCACTGAATGACCTATTTTCAGTTTTGGGCCTGTAACATATGCTTGCTCCGGCTCTAGGCTGTGTGAAATTGCTCTTTGAGATAGCTAAGTGTCCTGCCATATTGTATAATTGTAGGCATAAATTAATTTGGTACACTAAGTAAAGTCAGCTAACATAAGGCATCTGGAAATGAGACCATAAAGTTTGGCTCTTTCTTATTTCCTTGAAGATCCTCAGCTGTGCACATTTTTCTGTAGTTAATATAAATAACTAGAATCATCACATATTTTTCTGGTAGCCACTAGTAGGCAATTGTCATAGCAAAAAAAGATATTTAGAAAAGTTAGCTTATGGATTTGAAAAGAAAGAATAAAAGAAAAAAGGAGAATGTTCTTCATAAATCAATGTACCCGAAGGAGCTTCTTTGGTTTTTCTTCTTTTTCTTCAGTCAAATTTCTTTGTCCATCCACAAGACCTCACAGATGCAGAAATAACAGAATATGCCTACAGTCTGAGCAAATGTGCAATGGGATTGATGACTGCGGGGACAACTCAGATGAAGATCACTGTAGTGGTAAATGCGTTTAATGTGAAATAATTCAGTGATGGCTACAAGGTTCTCTGATGACTTGGGGTACAAATATTTTAAAAAATATATATTTCTTATGTGGATGTCTGAGGGCATTATTTTCAGACATTTGATCTTCTGACAAGGTATAAAAGTATTCCACCAGCATTTCATTTGCCTTATAGCTGTGCACCTTTATCTATAGTTCCCACTAACCACTTTATTCTAGAAAATATTAATCCCGGAGAAGCAATATAGAGATTTTAAAATGCTCCTTGTTTAAAGATCTAATTCGTTGAAGAAAGGGAGCTTATATAGATTGTATGTATATGCAATTCCTTTTTCCAAATTCTGAAGTTCAAAAACCTTTTAATGCAAAAGACTTATGTTTGCAGCAAAATCATTTGGAGACAAAGCTTGACCTGATCTAATTGGAGCCATTTAATATCATCCTCTAAAAAAATTCCACTTAGGGTAAATATATTTTAAATTTTCTGTAGATATCAGTGTTACTTACTTAAAGTAAACATACTGTCACTTTCCTAAAATCTAAAAATTTCAGAATGTTTAAAAATTTGACCTTGAGAGCTTCAAATCAAGGATTATAAACCCATGTTTTTCATAGTAGTTAGTAAAACTTTGGAGATATTACATGCTCAATAGTGTGTTTTGATTCTGTGGAGCACTAATCATTTTTTGTATGCCTCTATAGGTAAGCTGACATATAAAGCAAGGCCTTGTAAAAAGGATGAATTTGCTTGTAGTAATAAAAAATGCATCCCTATGGATCTCCAGTGTGATCGACTTGATGACTGCGGAGATGGTTCAGATGAGCAAGGATGCAGAATAAGTGAGCTTGTTTTCTGTTAAGCAAAGTACCAGGATACACAAGTCTAACTTCTGCTTGTATATGACTAAAATTTTCTGGATATAAATATTGCTCTTCAAAATATGCTTTACTGATGCCCTTTTTCAAAAACCTTTGCCAAAGCAACCTTAGAATACTACTTAAGTTAATTTCAGACAGTGTGAAGTGGACAAGGTTGACTTTGTAATGAGTACCCTTGTTAAACCAGAAGCTGAGAAATCAATATTCAGATATAGAAATTGATGTCAGCAATGTAATCTATATCATTTAGTAATTTGTCTTAGACAAATGTAGTGTTTTTAAATTTTATAAACAGTGATATTTAGTTGAATGGTAGTAAAGGTCTTAATTTAGTCAATGATTTTTTAAAAAATTAATCCATTGCCAAATCATTCTTATAGAAGATGTGTTTTTTTTTTTTTTTAGCTCGAGTGCCATGATACTTGAGTTATTACATCCCGATTGCGAATAGTTTATATTTAACTAATGCTTGGCATTTGACTTTTTTGTATTAGATAAAAATAATTAAATTTATGATCCTAAATTCAGTTTGCTTACAGAAGTCACACAATATTTCCTACTTTTGGATCTTTTCTTTTATTTTTATTTATGCATCTAAAATGTTCCTAACTTAGGGATGAAGCAATACCCACCAGGATATGGCTACATGTGTCTAAACCGTGGTATTATGCCACTGACCTATTTTAACTAATTGTAAAATATTCAAGTCAGTGGGGATAAATAATAGTTACAATTATAATAAAGCTCTCATATTTGTCAAAAATTTGATTTAAGTAACTTAGAGATAATATAATGTTATCCTTATAATAATGTCCCTCTCATTTATTTAAAAGAGAAGATCTTTTAAAATGTTTTCCTGAATGGGAGATAAAGCAGTAAAATTGCAACTGCTCTCCTGGAAATTACAAGTAACTTTTTGTCTGTCCCAGAACGTTGCAGCTTATAAACAACCATTCTGAGCACATTACATACTCAAATATTACGCTTCATATGTCTGTCCAGCATAAAAAAAAATGAAATTTAAACTGCTGATTTAGCCGACTTGCTTGAGTAACTTAGCAGTACCCTTGATTAAGTTTACAAATATTAAGCGTAGGTTAGCAATAAATGCCTCAATTTCTAAGTAGCTTATAGGAAATGCTTTGGCTCTCAGAGAAGGATGTAGTACTTATATATGGTACTGTAATAAAGATAGCCTGTCATTAGAATCATTGACTCCTGACTTACTTTAAAAAAGTATATTATAGCTTAACAGCAACCCTAAATATCAGCTGTTAGCAGCTTGGTCTAATCTGTATTTAATGTTAATGAATTCAGTTTTTATACTTCTATACATTTATAAGACATGGGGCTTATATGGAGAGAAGACCTTAACCTTATATACTCAAAAATAGTTATCTATGGAGTAATCAATACCATTTCAAATATTTTTAAAAAGTAAACTCCCCACTTCAGGAATTAGAATTATATTAGTTTTGATCATATTTTTAAATCCCAGCTCCTACTGAATATACCTGTGAAGATAATGTGAATCCATGTGGAGACGATGCATATTGTAATCAAATAAAAACATCTGTTTTCTGTCGATGTAAGCCTGGATTTCAGAGAAACATGAAAAACAGACAATGTGAAGGTAGAGTACTTTTCCTCAACAGCTTGCTCGTAAATCTTTGGGTTATGAAAAGACTCCCAAGACTTCTAAATTGTGAAATCACAGGGGATTGATTTTCATCAAAATGATGTCTATCTACGGGATACCGTTTCACTTATGAGAATGAAAGTCTCTGGGGTCAAGAGCTTGTTTGTTTGTGGAGCTAAGCTAACCACGACAGAGGCTACAAAGCTTTTTCTATAGCAAATTCAGAGCTGCAGGAATTTCAATTCTATTACTACAATACTGTTTTGAAATACAAATAATGAAATTGCTGGTTCAGGAACTATTGGAGAATTAGTCTTGCTTCATGAAAAAAAAAATATGTTTATGATGACCCATTTCTCTTGAGTGTGGCATTTGCAATACTGAAATAGGTAAATCACATTTAGAGAGGCATGGGCTTTTGTCCTAAAATCATGTTTTAAATAGATCATAATGTGTCTTTAAAAATTCAAAGTCAGGATCTACATAAATCTGTCAACTTACTTGAGATCATTTAAAAATTGAGCATGTAGGATAGCCAAAATCTTATAGTAAGTAAGTAAATATAATCTACATCAGTGTTCTAACTATAGAACCATGAAATACAGACCCATATGCACTTTCTGCAAGTTTCTCCAATAAAACTGCTATTTGTATTCATTTTCACATTATTGTAAGTACAGCCAAACTTAAAATAACTAAGTCTGGCTTATCCAGGCTAAATTCAAGTCTTCAAATGCGTTTACCTACCAGCTTGCTTTTGTTATGTCTCTCTGTGATATTTTGGGGCTAAGAAAAATGATTTTACTTTGTGTTAATCAAAATGGAATTATTTAAATGAATTGATTCTACTTACCCAAAAGGGGGATAAGTGTAGTCATGTCATGTTTATCTACATTTTGAGTTATATGTGTATTTGGATTATTTGTGACATTTGATTTTTCCATTACCGTGAGATTGAAAGCTGACAATCTAGGTTTCCTGTATTTTAGTTAACAAATGAATTATCTTTCAAACTATGGTATTTATTTTTCCAAGGCTCTATCAATTACATATAAACACACACACATAAACAATTCTTTCAAGATTTTAATTTCAATAACATTTATTTTCTAATATTTATTTGTGAGTGGGTTTTTTCTGTATGTATGTACTAAATTTAGAAATTATATTCTTCAACTTTTCTTAATTTTTAATTGTATTCCACAGCAAATATAACCTGCACACTACATTCTTTATTTTAAATTGCTGTGAATCTACTTTTTCATATTATTTTGTAGGACAAATGAGTAACTTCTGAACTCTAATAAAATGTTCATCTATTAAAATAGTTCTATTTCAGTGTCAAAGAAGGGTAAGACAACTTGGATTCTATAATCCAAAAATTTAAATGTGTTTGTACCCTTCACTTATGTATCTGAAAAAAATGCATAAGAAATTGCTGTTTGATGTTAAAGCCCAAACACTTCAGTTAGAATATCTAAAGGGAAAAAAGTAAAGAGGAATGATGGAAGAAAGTAGAAGGGGATTAACAGTTGCTGAGTGCCAGGTACTGTTTTGGGTACTAGGCATGTGTGGAAATTCCTCCATTCCCTTCAAAACCTCATGATCCAGGCTTTCTAGAGATGAGGAGAAAATGATGCTTTGGGCCAGTATGGAGACAAGTGAGGAAGTTGAGGTTTTATCAAATCATGCAGAATATTGCTTATTTGGATTCTGTACCAAAGGGAAACCATAGTGACAAATAACTGCCTGTTCAAAGTTACAGATGCTGAACAAATCAGAAATATTTATTGTAATTGTGATGTTTAAGTACTGACAAGATGCATTCCACTTCATTCCTGTAAAATATTTATTAAAAACAACTAAATACAGTTTTCTGCATCTATTTACTCTACATTTCAATCAAATAGCAATGTGTTGTCCTGAAAATACTTATGTGTTCTTAGGCAAAGTATCACAGTAAAGTCAACAAAATCAGAAAACCTGAGTTTAAGCCCTGACGTTGTGATTTACAAGTGTCACTACCACTGAGCCTTAGAACATTGTTGTGTGCTACGCAAAAAAAATAGTTATTCGTACTGTGCTGATTCTTAAGTTCTCTTATTCAAGGGAAGGATTTATCTCACAGATTTATTAAGTAATTAGGAGATTATAAGTGATAAAATGAGGCAGGGGAAATATGCTGGTTAAACACAAAAGTAGAGGAGGAAAAGAGAGGAAGATTAGACAGTTCCCTAGAATAATTTGGCCTCAATCCTGGCTCTTCATAAGCCCTTAAAATTAGTCATGTGCCAGACTACATGACTCTAATTAAAACACATGAATACTGCCGTGATTTATTTATTTATGCTCGTGTTTTAGAGTTATGTATTCATATATAGGCATGCAGTTTTTTGCTTGCTTAATTCACATAATCTCAATACAGCCCTTCTTGTTACATAGTCACTTCATATATATGAGTCCAGAAGTGTATTAGAGATGCACCCAAATCTTTGTTCTCTGCCAGTCATTGTGCAAAATCTGGCAATAAAAAAGGAATGTATCATAATTTATGTCCTCAAGGGACTGACATTCAAGTAGAAGATATGATGTAACTACATTCCTGAAATATAACAACAGTGTAAGAAAGAAACACCAGGAGAGCAAAGACTGGAGGAACTAGTGATGAATCATCACTCTCATATATCGTGGAGACCAAGGAAGGCTTTATTTCAGGTGGATCTTGAAAGATGAGTAGAAATTCTGTATGGAAACGTGGGCAAGGGCATTACAGGATGAAAGAATAGCCCATGACATCTGCAAAGGCATGGAGGTAGGTCATCACAAACAGCTTAAAAGAAAACCTCAAGGCAGGTCTATTTGCGTGAATGGAAATCTATACAACAAACCCCAATGGGGGTACAAGTTTATCTAGTAGCAAACCTGCACTTGTATCCTTGAACTTAAAAGGTAAAAAAATAAGTAAACATTTTAAAACAGAAAAAAAGAAGCCTCAGGGAAGTTTGAAATTGATGTTTTAATATTCTAAGTGAATTAATAAAAGCAATGGCAACTGATGAATCTTCTAGCACAAACATTGTGAAAAATGATTATACTTTCACAAATATGGCACTGCAAGTCACAGATTAAACATGTGAAAGGACAATAAAAACTAGTAATACGTTAAAGAAAAATAATTTTGCTTTTTTGAAATGTGGTAAGAATAGGAGTATGAACTGGGGTTCTGATGATGCTATTTTGAGCTCTTCTTTTCTAGACCTCAATGAATGTTTGGTGTTTGGCACATGTTCCCATCAATGTATAAATGTGGAAGGATCATATAAATGTGTGTGTGACCAGAATTTTCAAGAAAGAAATAACACCTGCATAGCAAAAGGTAAGATTATAACCACTATCACAAATACTATTACAATTTTGTTGTAAACATTTTATGGAGAAAACCATTTGCTATTTCATTTCAGCGACAGCTTCATTTCTCATAAAATAAAAATATTTTTAATGATTATTAATTTGACCAATTGGTTAGTTAATATTAATGAATTTAATCTTATATGGCTTATGGAAATGACTATGAAATACATGGTTACTGTTAAAATCACATAGTGTTCAAAACAATTTTTCAAAAGGGGTAAAAGTTTAAAAGCCAGTGTGATAGAATGTGAAGTATTTCTCTTGATGGTCTGCTCTAAGGGAATATGATAAAAATTATACTCCTGGGATAAAAATAAAAGGTTAAACATTAGCATTATAAGGAGAAAAGAATTTTGAGTAAGGATTTTAAGGGTTTTAAAACAAGATCTTTCTTTCAAATTTAGAACTCCTCCACTTACTAATATTATTTTTTAAAAAGATTAAATGATAGGCCAGATGCAGTAGCTCACGCCTGTAATCCCAGGACCTTGGGAGGCCAAGGCGAGCGGATCACGAGGTCAGGAGTTCAAGAACAGCCTGACCAACATGGTGAAACCCCGTCTCTATTAAAAATACAGAAATTAGCCAGGCGTGGTGGTGTGCACCTGTAGTCCCAGCTACTTGGGAGGCTGATGCAGAAGAATCGCTTCAACCCAGGAGGCAGAGGTTGCAGTGAACCAGAATTGCACCACTGCACTCCAGCCTGGGTGACAGAGCAAGATTCCATCTCAAAAAAAGAAAAACAAGCAAACAAACAAACAAACAAACAAAAAGATTAAATGATAAACTATGGTTCTGGGCAATTGTAGGTTTTAATATTCATATGTTTATGCTAAATGATATTGTAACTTCAATATTGTTAGCTGCAAGGTATGATTGGACATTATTATTATAATAAGATTGTTATTACAAGAAGAAAAGGATGACATAATGGATCAGCTGTGGGCTATAGCATTAGATATACTTGGATTGGAATCCCAGCACAGCACCTTTTAGACTGTGTGGTCTCGAGGAATTCACTAAAGTGTCTGAGCCTCAGTTCAGTTTCCATAGTTATAAGAAGTAAAGATAAACTGTGAAAGGCTTAACATAGCGTCTGATACATAATGAGCATTCATTCATTATATAATGTTAATGAGAGCTATTAACATTACAGAGCTGAAAGGCATCTCATGGGGTATTATTATTATTTATTTGCAGAAACTGTATCTGCAATCCAACCTCTCTTTAGGGCTTCATTAATATTTTAATTGATATTTTTGGCATTTGCTTTAGGGTTTTACTTGTCAATATGAAAATGACATTAGTATTCTATTGTAGATGTCAAAAATTTAGAATGTTTCACTTAGCAGGATTCTAGATAATTTAGAGATTATAGAACTTTAATGTAATAAATGCTGATATCTTTTTATGCTAAAAGTTAATAAGTACTTAAGATGTATAAATACAGTAAGAGGAAAATTATTCATATCTTAATTTTTATTTCTTAGCCTAAAGTAATGATCACTCAGGTTCATAAATTAAGTACTCAGAAACTTTAGAAGCTTAATGAGTATACAACATAGCACCTGGACATTGACAATTGATGCATTATAACCTACTGTATTGTGACTTATCAAATAATAATCTCTCTTCATAAAAAGGACATCTATATGTACATAATTTCTAGCCATAAGGAAAGATTGGCACTAGAAAACCTCTGTCAATAAATATTATAAATATTTAGATAAGTGGATATCAGAAATAATAAGCCGTAAAGACTAAAAGATAATATAAAGCTGGTTGATTTTTGAAGAAAAACTGTATTAAGAATAATAATTCAAGATCATTTAAAAGTACAATTATTGCTTTTAACATTAGTTGAAATTTACTTTATTTTTGTATTTTATTATAATAATCTCCAGGCTCTGAAGATCAAGTTCTCTACATTGCTAATGACACTGATATCCTGGGTTTTATATATCCATTCAACTACAGTGGCGATCATCAACAAATTTCTCATATTGAACATAATTCAAGAATAACAGGGATGGATGTATATTATCAAAGAGATATGATTATTTGGAGTACTCAGTTTAATCCAGGCGGAATTTTCTACAAAAGGATCCATGGCAGAGAAAAAAGGCAAGCAAACAGTGGCTTGATTGTAAGTAAATACCATTATATATTTGAAAGTCCATACCTTTCCACCAGCTGCTTTTTAAATAAAATGTATCTATTGTAATATCTAATTATATTAATTAATATATTCAATTATTTTCCCAATATTTTCCTTGTATAGAAATAATGTATTTCTCTGCTCATTCATTATCATAGCTGTACATGACTTATTTTAGTTGTACGCTTTTATGTTTTTGCTTTAATGTATTTGACTTATATATAGTATAAGAATGCTAATGAATGATACCTAACATCTCCAGAACATCTGCTCCATAGTGCTTTACAATTATTATGAATATAAGCTTTTTTATCATGAGATGAGATTGGGAAACATCACATTATTTTTACATTAGAAAGTAGTGTAATGCAGGGATAATTGTTTCTCTTCTTACATTATCATAAATATACTTTTACTCTAGGGCAGGACATCAACTCAATGGTGTAACCATTTCTTCTGACTCCTGATAACTATATTTCAGGAAACATCCAAAACAGAAATATTGTGCACTTGTGTTTGATGGACATGTTGATAATCATGGTTTTTGAGAAAAATAAACTGGAACATGTTTCAATTTATGGTTATAGATTATCCCTTTTTGTTTTAGGGCATGTCAAGTTATTGTGTGTTTTATATTTTTAAGTAACCTGGAAGGAAAATGACAGATAAATGTGTATTTTTATAGGGCCCGGCCCATTCCTGTACAACCAAAAAGTCAAGTGCTGTCCCAGCAGGATGTAACTGAAGCTTTGTGTTTAACAAAAATTAGAGGTTCCTATCAAGAAGTCCTCCCTACTTTTTCTACTAGCATCTACCATAAACACTTGAACTACATGAATCCATTTGATGCAAGTCTGGAACATATTTTAATTTTATCAGCAGTAGATGGCAATATGCTGGTTTTAAAATAAGCTATTGTAGCTTTCAAATTCAGATTTAGATTAACTTAGATGAAACCTTTGAGTAAAAATCCATGGATACCAGAACTGTTCAATTCCTATTTCCTCGAACACAATAGCTACCATTAACTTTCGTTAGCTCTAAAACAGAAATCTGCCTGTTGAAAACATTGCTTCTATGGTAACATGGCATCTGTTGTTAATGAATGAATAAAGAGTATATACTGTGGAGTTATATTGGCTGAGTTTGAATCTTATTCCTGTTGCTTACTGGCCTCTTAGCTTCTTGGTATTCTATTTCAAGAGGTTCTAGTGATGATTCAGTTTACATATTAGTATATTAACTATATGCTAAAATTAATTGTATATAATTACATGTAACTAATAATATACATTAATTATATGTATTTTATATACTAATGTTTAACTGTCTAGGTACATAGGAAGTACTATTTAGATGATTGCTATTAATAGTAGGATGATTCTGTTGATGATGGTGATGACATTAATAACAATAATTGGCAAAATGTTCTCTGCTTCATATTAGCACATTAAACATTATTTGCAAATTACATATCTGCATTTTATAATTGATAAAGATAGACACATCTTTAATTTTGGCACAATTTTTCAAGAAAAGTCTTTGTTTTATTTAGCTTTGTGCTTTGGGGAAATTGACTGTCCTTTAGTTCAGGGGTCTCCAATCCCCAGGCCACAGACCAGTATCAGTCTGTGGCCATTAGGAACCTGATTGCACAACAGGAGGTGAGCAGCTAGTGAGGGAGCATTACCATCTGAGCTCTGCACACTGTCAGAGCAGTGGTGGCATTGCATTTTCACAGGAGCACAAACCCTATTGTGAACTGTGCATGGGAGGAATCTGTGAACTGTGGATGCAAGGGATCTAGATTGCTGAGTTCCTTGTGAGAATCTAATCCCCCACCCACCCCATTCGTAGAAAAGTTGTCTTCCATGAACCTGGTCCCTGGTGCCAGAAAGGTTGGAGACCGCTGTTCTAGTGAACAGAATTCACAAAATTTATTGTAGATTTTAAGCCAAATTCACTCAATGTTTGGTAACTAAGTTTTCATTCTTATACACAGAAATGTATTTATGTATTTTACTTGAATATTTATTTATATGTGTATATTTTTACATATTTTATCTTTATTAATGTGTTATAGAATCTTTCATATTCAATGGCAAAGCTTGATTAGACTTATTTTAATAGGATATAAAACTTTATTTACTCTTTAAATGATAGTAATAACTTGTGTTATATCATCCAGACTTCCTATGTTTTGCTTTTGTTTTCACCTCTCTATTTAAATCTCTCATGACTAATAGCATTCACAAAGTAGAAAAATGGATAACAGTAGGAGTGCATTTTCTACTAAGGAGTCCATCATAACTAACTAAATGCCATAATTATAAGTTTGGAACCTCTGAGCCATGAGTTTTAGCACTATAAGCCAAATTTCCTAACAATTCTAGCCAATACATTGTTTTAAAAAATACTTTAGAGCTGCACTGATAAAAGCAACTATTTAACTTTGCTTCCTAAATCTTTTTGTATTCCTGATATTTCAATATTATAAAGACAGACTAAATCTATTATTACCACCTTAGTGAGTAATATGAATTGTAGAGCAATTAACTTGAAAGATATATCACATATCTGAGTCTCAGATTACTCATCTGAAAACAACTATAATATTAAAGTACACAATTTCTACAACTCCTTTGAGATAATAAATATATTTGATTTCCAAAAGATGTATGGCATATCATATATCTATCCAATTATTATCTGGACAATTTGTGTTTATTCCTCTGAAATCTGTCTTATGTATTAATAATTGATTTTCTATCTTATGAATTACTCTGCCATGTAAACATTGGTTCTTCTAACAGTAACACGCTAGTCATCCCTTAGTTTAATGAGCATCCAATCTAATTCATCTTGTAAGTTTTGACACAAATATTAAATAATACTGATTGAGACTTCCCCACCCCTTGAAAAATAAAACTCAAGATTTTTTCCCTAGGCTGATTATGGCACATTGATTTCTATCTCTGAATCAATAGACAAGGGAGAGAAAAATCTACAAATCAAGCTATGAATACATTAGTTGTAACTCCATTATCAGTGAACCAAATGGAAGAAGTTAGCCATGTGGTAGCAGGATGTTTTAAAAACATACTTGCAGATACTAAAAATATTGGAATAGTTCAATTTCCATAAATAGTATAAAATCTGTTGCATCAAAAACCAGAAGAATATTATTCAGACAACTAAATGTTAAATGAAGTCCATTCCAAAAAAAATGGTTATTTTTCCATATGATCCTGTTTCATTATTATTATTATTATTATTATTATTATTACTATTATTTTGGACATTGTGAAGGGAATACTCTTCTGTAATCTATGAAAATGGTTAGAATACTAATAATTATTATAAATTTAAATTTCAAATGCAGACCAAGTTGTTTATAATTAGAAATACTTACGATTTTCTAATCTTCTGGGCTATACAAAAGGAATGGATTTTTTTCCTTTAAGAAAATAAATAATTTAAAACTTAAAAGAGTGACATGATTTAATCTGTACATAAGGCATAATGAGACTTCCGAATTTTAATTTTAGTACCCAGAACAGAATATAACAGCATTACGCAACAATTGTACATGCTCTTGGGCAATTTATCATTTTTAGTATGAGATGCTATACAAAAAAGCATATGAGGGGAAACACTATAAAGTAGGTTAATGTTTGGAAAAATGCAAATAACTCTAAAAGTATAGATTAAATTTTTACCACTAAAAATCTAAATATTCCTAAGCAAAACAAATACTCAGATTTATCTGATCTACTTGACTTTGAAAAGTAAATATGAGATGTCATTTTGTGGTATGTTCTAATTTTTGTAAATAGAATGTTCAGGATAAACATGCTTATTATTTTACTGATTAAAAATCATATCTTTTTCTCAAAAAGTTGATTACATCATTTTGTTTTCCCAAAACACTTTTAATAACATATCTATTTAAGTTATTCCTAACAGGTCTCAATTTTTAATTGAGGTATAAACCTCATACCCAATATATGAGTCTCTGTGTATCACAAGCGCACACACACACACATGCACACACACACACGAAAGTGCATAGGTGTGCATATGCACTCACAAATAAGCGTGTGTGTGTGTGTGTGTGTGTGTGTGTACAAAACCACTTAAAAGTCTTGTTTCAGAACATCTGGGTACTGCTAAAAATTGATAGTCATCTGAGTTCATTCAAATCAGAGTTACAATCATTTATTATGATTACGTGGAAAAAATCTAAAGCTATCAGTTCATTACATCATTACAATTTGTGGTTTTATTGTTGTTAATTGCACAAGACAGGCACTCAATAATACATATTGACTCTGGTAAATGATAATATAACAGTTATGATCTAGTCAAAATTTTACTAAACAAGTCAAAGAGGTATAAATTTGCCACTTTGCTATCATGGATTTTTAGTTCCTTAATTAAACAGTATTTACTCATTAAAAATATACCAGTGATAATTATTATATGTGTCTACAATAAATAATGCTGAGGAAATTATTAATAAAAAGCATAGCATTTTAGGGGAAACTAGTCAAAATTCATTCATTCATACCCAAAGTCTTATTTAAAGCCTACTTGTTAGTTTTGGTGTTGGGTTTTTGGAATGCAATAATAACAGAACTGGAATCTTGCTTTCATGGAGCTTATTTTCTAGGGAAGAAAGAGAAAGTTAATTAAACTCATAAGTAGATCAATACAGAAAATTCCAATTTTTAAAAATGTATTAAAGGAATTAAATAATGAACTAAGAAAAATTCAGATAATGCAATTCCCAACATAAGATGAGTAAAGGCCAATTTGAACAGAGAAGATTTGAGTTGTGATGAGAAAGAAGTAATACTATTTTATATATATACATGTATATGAGTTATGAGAGGACATGAATCATAAATATATATATTTATGTATATATGTTATATGCCTAACATTAAATTATATGTATTATGTATATATATTTATATGTGTAGATA